TATTTTTTATTAATCAATTACTCATTTTCGGAATTTACCGAAAAAAATTAAAATTTTAAAAAATTGTTGAAATTGTTAAATTTAAGGTTACCATATTTATTTGTGAATTTTTGGCGTTAATTTTTTATTTTTTCATATTTTTTATTAATCAATTACTAATTTTCGAGATTTACCGAAAAAAATAAAAAGTTGAAAACGGGTCGAGTAGTTTATTTAAAAGGGGGGGGGGTTGATTTATGGATCGGATTAGGTGTTTATGGGTTCGAATTTTTTAGGGGTATAATTAATCCCTTTCCATTTTCATATAAATGCCATGTGGTAAAATCAAAATGACATGACAATTCCATGTGGCATTTAAAGAAATGAAAAATGAGTTGGATATGTCCAGCAGACCAACTAACGCCCATAAGGGCATATTTAGACCAAAAGTTAGACGGCGAAGGCATGAGTGAGCCAAACTTTAAACAGAGAGTATATTTAGACCTTTTTGAATAGTTTAGGGGAATATTTGACCCTTTACTCATTTTGTACATGTGGCGCAATCCTATGCCTCAACCCGAATTGACCAAATATTTAACTTAAGTTTCAATTACCTGTTTAACCCGCCTCATTACCCATTTAACAAAATATCTACAAACCTAAAGAAAAAGCCCCATTTACTTTATCTCTTCTTCTTCCTCGTAAGGTCGCCGTAGTTGCCATCCACCCCCCTCCCCCCCGCCTCCTTCTTCTTCTTCTTCTTTCATCTTTCCGTGTACCCCTCTTTCAATCATCTACTTGAAGATTTAAACAAAAGAGAAAACAATGGATTTAACTTCTCTATGCGATATTTTCTAATTATAAAAAATTATTTGACAAATCGGACTAAGGAGGCAAGCATATTGGGAAGAATATTGTGTTTGATATGGACATGAGTGCTGAAGATATTTTAGCCCTCTTTTACCTCCTTAAGTTGTTAGTAAAAGAAATCAATTCGGAAATAAATGGCTTTCTATTTGAATTAGATCATCCTCTGAAAATTCAAACTAGATCTGAATCTAGAAGGTTCCGAAACGAATTACATTTTTAAGTTCCAATTAAGAGGGAAAAAACTTTTTTTTTTTAGAAATTTCTGTTGTAAAATACAATTTTCATTCAAATCTGAACATTGTTCAACCCCACAATCCCTAAAACACTGATACAGATTCAGAATTCAACACATTGAGGATTCTCAAACATGAACACCAAACTTCAACTTGAAAATTCCAATTAAATTATGCAATAAGCCTCGAAATTATCTTTAATTTCTGCAAAGAAAAAAACGAAAGCCATGAAAGGAAATTGAGATTCTGAGCTAATACAACTTATGTTTCTTACCTAAATGGAAACAAAGTTCTGGAAACAAAGTTTCTGGAATCTTCTTTAAGCTAAAATGAAAAAGCAAATTCAAATCTTCAATCCCAAAAACTCGATTCAGATTCAGATGTCAACACATGTTTGAGATTTCTACGAAGGGTTCTCGAACATGAACATCAAATTTCAATGTGGGTAATGGGTGTATCGGTGGGTTAAATGGGTATTGGGGCGGGTTAAACGGGTATTTGAAATTTGGGTTAAATATTTGGTCAATTCGGGTTGAGGCGTAGGATTGCGCCACGTGTACAAAATGAGTCTTCCGTTAGTGAGAGGGGCAAATGTGCACTAGTTATTGGACGGCGAGGGCACTCATGAACGAAAAGTATGACGGAGGGTATTGACATACCATTTTCAAAAGTTCGGGGTATATTTGTCCCTTTTCCCTTTAAAGAAATGAAAAATGAGCTGGATATGTCCAGCAGGCCAACTAACGCCCATAAGGGCATATTTATACCAAAAGTTGGGCGGCGAGGGCATGAGTGAGCCAAACTTTAAACGGAGGATATATCTAGACCTTTTTGAATAGTTTAGAGACATATTTGACCCTTTACCCTTTATTTATTTATTGGGTTATAGATAGATTGTTTATACATATTAAATAATTTTCTTTAATATAAATACAGGTTTTGAGATAAAGCTGCCAATATGATCTCCGCCTCGATCTGGTCATGGTTGAGAAGGTATATTTATTGCGGAGGCAAATTCAAGATTTAAAGTACTTAATGGATTCAGAATGAGTGTGAAAAGCGCTTTCTTTTGCATAGATGTTTCAAGGAAATATATGGCTGTGAGGCTCGTCATTTGAGTGTTTGCGCGTCGTGTAGGCCCACGAGTGGAATTTGTGCTCATTGCAGTCACCTCCGTCGTTCTTCACATGTTGATGTTGATACCACTTCAATAATAATTTAGTATGAATTGTATAGTAATTTAGATGCTAAATTATTGAGTAATGAATTGATTTGCATGAATATATTCCACTTATAATGTCTTAAAAAAGTAGAACCTTATTTCCCACCCAAAACCTTTTGGGGATGCCAATTCTGTCACAATCAATATGCATCATTTTATATGTTTTATGAAATTTGAGACTAAAACATATATCTTCTGTTCTTTAAGCTGTAACTCTCTCATGGCATTCTTAACTGAAGATGAAAGAAAGCATAACACGAATAAGAAGCTTTACGATGCACTGATGAAACAAGAGAACACTGAAGTTTTACGACTCTGTCGAGGACTGGAATCAGGGCCATTGCATATATTAACAGTGCACGATGACACAGTCCTCCATGTGGCTGCCTACTCTAAACAAACAGATTTGGTTCTCTGTTTACTTAAAGAGTTGGAAATGCGGTTGCCTGAGTTTCCTGTAGATGGACTAAAGCATCGTAATGATATGGGGAATACCATTCTTCATGAAATAGCTACTTTTGACAGAGTTGATTCAGCTGCAAAGATAATATTGGATAGAGAACCTGATTTACTTGGTATGCGCAATAAGAGTGGAGAGACTGCTCTATTTCGTGCTGTTCGTTATGGGAAAACAGTCATGTTTGATTTTCTTGATCAACAAGTGAATCAATTTTTTTCTGTTTATGAACGCGAGGCTTGTTATTATAAACTTAGAGGAGCAACAATTCTTCATGCTGCTGTACGCTCTGAACACTTTGGTACGTTTTAAAATATTATAAGTTGTAGAGTTCCGTTGACATAAGGGAAATGAACTTTACCATTGGTTTCTCCATTTTAGTACTTGTTAAAAAAGCAGAGTAGGCTAGCTGCTGCCTGCTGGCATATGTTTTACGTATATTTGTGTCTTTTTGAGGATTGTTTCATTTGCTAGTGGTAAAATGCTGATTGTATTGTGCTCTATTTTCTTCCTCTTTTTCTGTTTTTCATCTTACAGGTTTGGCCCTGTCAATTGCTAAAAAGTACGAATATTTGGTAAATGAACGAGATGCAGATGGAATGACTGCTCTTCAACTTCTTGCTTGCAACCGGCAAGCATTTGGAAGTGGAGAGAAGTATGGTTATATCAAGAGATCCATTTACACTCGTAAGATACTCGAGATGCTTCACTCTGGAATACTTGAACTCCACCAAGTAGTTGTATAAATGAATATAATGATATAGGCCCAAATAACATTCCTCCTTCTGTCAATCATAAATATCATTTCTTTTTCTTGATATTAGTGAAAATATTGTTAATTACTTAGGTGTTGTTACTTGAAAAATTGTGTTGGATGTTTGCAGGTCTTTCGACTGAACCTAAGGCTACCGAGAAGGAAGGTAAGTCTCCACACCACCAAGTCATTGTAATCCCACAAGTGGGATCTGGGGAGGGTGGGGTGTACGCAGGTAAAACTCATATACCCTATATAAGAACGTTGGAACATCACCTTCTATTATTGGGGTTTCTCATTGAATAACAAGACATTCATGATTTCAAAGGCGGATTCTATAGGCTCAAATATACCCCTTGCTTTTCACTAAAGCTATTTATACATATGCAAAAAAAAAATTAAAACAAAGTGATGCATGTAATAAAACCATGTTCAGTTTGGTCCAACATCTTTACATCATAGGCACACTGTACTTCTTTCGGTCTATTTGACGTCTGCAAGAAGCAATTCAATCAACTTCACTCATCATTTTTTTCTTTTTTTCTTTTCCTTGAGAAGCTGAAAAATGTTATAGAGTGCCGTTGGTGGAGTCTATGCGTAAGCATAAGCAGAGATATGAATCAGTTCTGAAACTTGCCAAGTTCTTGATAGCAAAGGATACTTCTTGGGAGTGTTCAGAATTTGCTTTAAATCAGGTCGAACCTTGATCCCACAAGTATAGACTGATGTCAGATGTTTTAAAAAGCGAAGAAAAAGAGGAACAATATGGTGTTGCACCAGCAGGAAAAGTTGTTACAAAAATTGCTGAGTCACCTTTGATTTTGGCAACCAAATCAGGTTGCACAGAGATTGTAGATGAGATATTGAAAACATATCCCCAAGCTGTGGAGTATGTTGACAGTGAAGGTCGTAACATATTGCACGTGGCGATCAAGTACCGTCAGATGCAAATTTTCGACATAGTTGAGAAAATGGGAATGCCAATGAGGAGACTCAAGAGAAAGATCACTCATCAGGGAAATTCCATACTTCACATGGTTGGTGTAAAAGAGGACACTGAAATTGCAGATATGAGAAGCCCTGCTTTGCTATTGCAAGAGAATTTGCTCTTGTTTGAGGTAAAACGAAATACTCCCTCCGTTTAAAAAGAAACGACCCCTTTCCTTTTTCGGCAACACTTTAATTTCAGCTTTCCACATGACATGTCTAAGACCACAAAATTTAAAGGAATTTTCATACATTTGACATAACTTTAGTTTAAGACCACAAGATTCAGAAAGTCTATGTTTATTTTCTAAACTTCGTGCCTAGTCAAACTAAGTAGTTTAGCTGTTCCTGCAGCGTGTGAAAAGCGTCTGCTCAGCTGATTTTTTCGAAATTATTAACGAAGAAGGCAAGACAGCAGAAGAGTTATTCACTAAAGCAAATGCTACACTACGTTCAGAATTGAAAGACTGGCTTAAACGCACTGCTGAGAACTGTACAATAGTTGCTGTGCTCATTGCAACAGTGGCTTTTGCCGCAGCCTATACTATTCCAGGTGGTCCAAATCAAAGCATGGGTTATCCCGTCCTCTTGGCCCAACCGTTCTTTGTGATTTTCACTATCGGAGATGTGCTTTCCATTACCTTTGCTTTGACCTCAATGATCACTTTTCTCTCAATTCTCACCTCTTCATTTCTGTTGCATGAATTCAGGCTATCGCTTCCTCAGAAATTAATTCTAGGAGTTACCCTCTTGATTCTTTCTGTGTCGATGATGATGTTAGCATTTGCATCGACTATAATCTTTTTGATTCACTACAAAGAAAGGTGGACAAAAATAGCTTTATCTTCCATGGCATTCCTACCTGTGACCATTTTCGCAGTTTCATATTTCCCTCTGTATGTGTCATTATGGAAAAACTTTAACTACTCGTTAAGGAAATTATCCAGGGCGTTTCCTCGATGCAAGATTCTATCAGGAAAGCCTTGCGATGATTCCCCTTTGACAATCTCTTCCAGTCTCCATGAGTCTGGATCTACTAAATTTGGCATTTCCACATCCTACTATTAGTAACTGGTAAAACAGTTGCTCTGTCTGTGTGAGATAAAGTGTCCATTGAAATGTATTCTAGTATTAGCGGCGTGTGCCCATTGAATGTATGTTTGTCTAAGTCCTAAACTATGTGAGACGTTTCAAGTTTATTATCTTGGCAAACTTATTTTGATTTAGCTTTCTGAGAACTTTCAAGGATCTGCAACATTCAGGGCGCGATTATCTGGCCAAGTGCACGATTGTCAATTTGTTGATCTATATATATATAACTTACATTAAAAGGAAACATTAAATTGCGTAGACTAACGAACAGTTGAGACATGAAATTACCATAGATCAAATGAAAGGATACATTTCAAGCAAAAAAGTACTTAACCATATATAGTTCAATACAACTTGGCCACAAAAAAGAAATATAATGTTCTTGAAAATAAGAAATATTGTCTTTGCAACGAGACGTTAGATATTTACTAAACGATATGTTCCTCAACAAGAGGGGAATATCTCTACTATCGTATAACTTTGAAATATCGATCCTCCTCTTCGATCAACCTTCAAACACAAACAACATAATGGAGAAAAAGGACTAAAATAGCACAAGACCATTCAAAAGCAAAGAGTTTGATAAAAGGCGAAAGAGTTGAAGAACCAGAATAGTAGTTATAAGGTGGTGGTGGTGGAGGTCCATAGTTATTATACTGTGGGCAGCACGGCGTAGTAACAGGCTGAGATGGCGGACAATTTACATAACCGGTAGGTGGTGGAACGCCATAGCTTTGGTATCCACCACCAGAAGGTGGTGTTGGTGGTGGCGGAGATTGACAAGTATATGGACAAATTGTACAATTTGTACAAGCACTTTGTGTTGGTGGTGATATTGAACCATCACCATAGTTACCATCTTGAGTATTATTGTCACCAAAAACACTTGAGAAAAAGTAAAGTAAAAGCAACCAAACCCCTAATAGAAACTTCACATTTTCTTGAGCCATTCTTGTTTTTCAAGCTACTTTGCTAGAGATCAAGAAAGTAAGTAGTTAAGTAGCAAAAGCTAAAAGAATAGAACTTCCTTTTGTAATGTTTGTTTCAAGTGACACATCCAAAAGCCATGCCACATAGCAAGGAAATGTGGCAATTCCAAAGGTGTTGATGATGGTATAAATTTGACATTGTTTGCATGGATATCTAAAACAATTTGGAAAATGTACATCAGCTAATTAAAACACAAGTGAAGTAGAGGCTACTAGGTCAGCTATTTCATTTGTGCATGTCAAATACATCTAATTATAATTTGGAATCATCAATTATATGAATTCAACTTGTCTACAACTTTCTCAAAATGGAATGAAACTTGGCATTACTTTGGAAGTTCCCAATAAAATTGGGTAAAAGTAGAAAGCAAGTGGTTAGTATATGGTGAATCTTAGCAACTTAGTTGGTTGGCTATTTGAACTTTCACCTTGTTGGTAGGGGTGGGTGTTCAATATTCAGTTTGAGATTCTTAAATTTTGAGTTTGGTAATTCGGTAATTGGTAGTTAAAAGTAGATACAAAATATCAATTTTTTAAATTTCAATTGGGTAATTTGGTAATCAGTAAAGTAAACTTCGGTTTGATATGGTATTCAACAATACCGTATTGAAGTTGTAGCCCATTATATTACGAAGTTAATACTATTTCTTCAATTATTTCTATATTTTAATGTGGAGGTACGGTATAATAGAAGATCAATAGTAAGAAGACAAGAAAAAACAAATTGATACAACTAAAAGACATGTATTTGGGTTGTTTAAGTTTGTTCTTTAACTTTCTCTTTGAACTTATACTAATGAGTACTTGACATATTGATATACTTATGACCTTCATTAAGTAAATAGTTCGGTATTTGGGAAATACCGAATACCAAATGGTACTAGTATCATACCAAACCCAAATTGAATACCATAATTCTAAGATTTTACTCCCGAATACCATACTAAATATCAAATTACCAAATACCAAATTACCAAAAAAATTTAATTCGATTCGGTAATTCAATTTTTGATATTTTATGTTCAACCCTACTTATTGATGAAGGTTCGATTCCCCACCTTGTCTCCCCTTCCCCTACCTCAATTTGTTAAAAAAGATAAGAAAAGAAAAGTGGTGACTGTATATTTCTGGATAAATAAAAATATGAAGGTAAAATAAATGGTGTTAATTATTCATAATTTATTGTATCTATCATCAAGTTGACTAGAAATACTGAATCAATACAAGGGTTTGGCCTTTTAGCAAAATTTGTCTTAGAAAAATGACAAATGGGAGATAGATCGAAATTAGTCCCTTAAATTTATTTCCGAATAACTTTGATTATTTATGTTAGCCAAAAGTTTGTGGGTTATCTTGAGAAGCCAAAAATATTTATATTGGATTTTTTTTTTTTTTGAAAATTAAGGTATTTGGATAATTATTAAACTACTTTTAAATGGAAATAGAAATAAATTTTTCGTTGTTGGGAAGAAACTAAAAATTTCTGGTTTTTAAAAAAGCAGTAGAAACTACTTGTTTTTAGAAGTACTTTTTAAAAGTAGCTTTTCAGAAAAGTTCTTTCAACAAAATAATAATTTGTATTTGGCTAATTTATTTGAAAAATATTTTGATAAACAAATGGTGTTTGGCTATTTATTTTTAAAAATTACTTTTGAGAGTCAAATAACAAAGAGGGGAAAGAATCAATGCACTTTAATATTCATATTATTTTACTGAGATAAATATTTTAAATATCTATTATAAAAAAATCAATTAAATTTTTATTGTTATTACATTAAAAAATACATATTCAAATTTCAATCAATATTACACACAGCTGGATAAAAAATAAATTAAATAACAATATACTATTAACATGATGATTTAAATATATAAAAATATCAAGTAAAATAAATTTAAAAATTATTCCACAAATTAAATTACTACATACATACACAACAAAAATAAATAAGTATAAGGGATATTTTGGTAAATATGAATAAACGTCAGAGATATTTTGGCCTTGAAATAAATAATTTTCTGTTTCTACTTTTTTTAAGAAGCAGAAACTTTTAGCTTTTTTCCAACAATAGAAAAGTTGTTTTTGCTTTCATTTTGTTGGTTTTTTAATAAAGAAATTAAGAAAATAACAAAGAAAGTCTTTGAGAGAAAAAAATACTGCAGAATTGTCAAAAGGAATTATTTTATTAATAATCCAAAGACTTACATTTATAGATATAATTTCTAACTAAAAATAGAAAAATATGCTACTAATTTATCAGTAAAATTCAAATAACAAATAAAAGAACTAACTCCTAAATTCAAGTCACATAGGACTCTAATAATTTAAAAACCCTAAAAGTAGCTAACTGTTTTATTTCTGCAATATCCTGAGACATATTCCCAACACTCCTCCTTGTATCAGGAATTGTAGATTATAGTCTCATCTGAAATTGACCATGTGAAGAAATTTTTTTTGGCGGCCATCTCATTCGTTGATGAGTCAAAATCCTTTACTCAAGCAGTAAAGCACACACATTGGAAAGAAGCTATGGCAAATGAAATTTCAGCTTTGGAAGCCAACCATACTTGGACTTTACAAATTTTACCTCCAGGTAAATGGGCTATAGATTCAAAATGGGTCTATAAAGTCAAGTACAAACCTGATGGAAGTATTGAACGCTGCAAGGCGCTCTTGGAAGCGAAAGGATACACTCAAATTGAAGGGGTTGATTTTCATGAAACATTTGCACCTGTTGGAAAACTTGTCACTGTTTGTTGTCTGTTAGTGGTTGTTACGGTTTGAAATTGGGACCTTCATCAATTAGATGTCAACAATGCTTTTCTACATGGAGACTTGCATGAAGAAGTTTAGATGAAGATTCCACAAGGTTATGCCAAACAAGGGGAGAAAGGAGTTTGTCGATTACAAAAATCTTTGTATGGCCATCGTCAAGCTAGCATCTCGAAATTGGTATAATAAATTCACTACTTTTTACTTTCTCTTAGTTACCGGCAATAAAAAACGGACTATTCCTTGTTTACGTTGTCCCATCCCCAAGGTTCCTGTGGATGATCTCATCATCACAGAAAATGATTCTGATTGCATATCCAAGTTGAATGTGCATTTAAATGTAAAATTTCATATCAGGGATCTTGGAAAGCTCAAATATTTTCTTGGCATTGAAGTGGCAAGGTGTAACGACCTGTTTCCATCGTTATAGAAAAGCCAACGGGGAAAATTTTTGGACCGAAAAACTTTTTCGTAGTAACTTGGAATTCCCCAACCTAGTCCAGATTTGGACGAAATCGGATTCAGTTAGGTCTAGGGAAATCTAGTAACAATTGGGTGATCTAATTATGATTTTGATCATATGACTAGATAGCTAAGACGTTAAGGAACCCTTACGACTTTATGGAATTTAATTCAGGCGAGTAGAACTCTCGAAACTGATCTTAGCGTGAACGGGTATTTTCTGAGTGGCATGGGATGAAGGTGTGTTGTGAAATGTGGGTTTGGAATTCTTAAAATTCCTCACTGTTTCCGTGCAAGCCACTGTGCCTGAATTATTCCCGCCTGGGTGGGATTGTTGTAGCGGGATGAGGACCGCTATGGCGGGACAATCGCGATTTAAGTCGGAAATAAACCCCAAAATAATTTTATTCTGCACTTTTCGACTTTGAGAGCTAGGAGACGACCCCAGGCAAGTTCTTGACCGTTTTCCACCATTCTTAAGGCTAAATGTAAGGTTTTAACTCCACGAATCCATTTTTTGATCCGTAGAATCTACACTAGTGAGTAATTATCGACGGGGGAGGGTTTTGATCTGGAAATTATGGTGGAAAAAGCCCTAATCTGGATATGGGGATCAAGGGTTTATCTAGGGTTGATCTTATTGATTATAATCTGGGTAATTAAGTCTTGTTTATTGATCCTAACATTATATTGATTGTTTGTAGACCAAGAAAAAGCGGAAAGAATCTGGAAAGGGAAGGATCAAGTTTGTTAGAGGATTCAAGCTTTGTTCGAGGTAGGTGATGGTTGTGATTTCATGTTGTGTGATATATGTTTGTTCTTGTTTCATTATAATGCATGTGTGCATGCGAATGTTGCATGGTTGATTTCACTAATCGTAAAT